AGATCATCTCATATTAACAAAATGATTTGAAAGGAATGGGAACAAAAAGTATTGATTAGGGAGAATCTTTCACATAGGAGGGGGAGAAATGTGAATATTTTAGTAGAAATTGAAGGTGTTAAATTAGCAAATTTCAAGGAAACACAGCTGGCAGCAAGATTGAGAAAAGAAAAAGAAAACCTATGGAGAGAGATGACAAGAAAGAAAGACAAAAGCTAAAAAAAAAAAAAAAAAGGAGAGGAAACAGGCAGAATTGTGGAATGGTTTGCAGTCTTTTAATTACAAAGTTGAACAATGGTGTTCAAAATTTCACACATAATTAACTTAAAAGAAATTTGCCTCCATGGGCCCTCCTTACCTAAAGGTTTCTATCGTGTTTAAATGGTGAGAAAGATGTAATTTCTGGCATGTTGTAAATATTGACATTTTAAGATAAAGCTGCCGCAGCTCTTTTGAATGTATTGGACCATTTTGATGGATTTCATAGGGTTCAACCTAAGAGGTGAACTACCCAGCCCGCAGCCGGCCTGCAGCGGTGCTCATCCTGGCAGATGCTGTCCGTAGCAAAACACCTAATACTCTGCGGACTCTTCTGGACTTGAGACTTTGTAGTTTCTTTGTTTCTGTTTTCCTGGTATTTTTAGCAAAATTCACCCTATAACTCTCCAACTTTTCTCACTAACTGAAGAAGCAAAGACGTTGGAGTCCATGATTAAAATGAAAAAGTAGAGCCACGCCCCCATCCCCTGCAGGATACCAGGGACCAGGGTAGAGGGCTGGCCCCACTGGAGAAGGCTGGACAAAGCCTGGGGGAGGTGGTGGGGATGACCCCTTTCTCCTCCCAAGCACTTCAGAAGAGGCTGACAGGAAAGGGTGCTGGGAAAGGATGGAGACCGCAAGGATTATGGGATATATACAAAAGGCTGGATTCTGAATTGGGGGGAGTGTAGAATGTGGTCTGGATGCTTCCATGCCTGTGGCCCCTGCCGAGAATACTGGGTGAGAAGCCAGGGGTCTCGCCAGCCACAGAGAGCCCTGGGTGCAGGTTCCAGGACCAACCCATTCTCCGAGACCCATGGAGCCTGCAGGGGGCAGCCCCCGACTCAGCATCCCACCCCCAAGCAGCACCCTTGCCTCTCCCTTTTAAAGTCAAGTTCGGCCTGGGAGTTTCTTGCTGGCCCAGTGGTTAGGATTCGGCTCTTTCATGGCCGTGGCCCGGGTTCAGTCCCTGATCGGGGGAACTGAGATCCTGCAAGCTGTGCAGTGCGGCCGAAAAGCACTCAAATTCAGCCCAAAGGGAGGGAGAAGTCAGAGCAGCCAGTAAGTAAAGCTGACAAGCCGAAGGAGACAGGCAATGCCTGAGGAAGGCCCCGCGGGGCAAGGGGAACCGCCCTACTCAGACCCTCTGAGCATCAGGCCACATAGGACCTGGAGACCCCCTCCCCTTTCCGCTTCCCCACGTTCCGTTCTCTCCAGTTCTCTAGGAGCCAACATCTCCCTTGCTGCCTTCCAGGATCAGGCCCTTGAGTCCTCACCATGTTCACACAGGGAGACAGCCTCCTATGGATTCCCAACGTTTACAAATTGCTGATCTAGAACAATGATGACAATCCCTGCCAGCCCTTTGCAGGAAACCTAACAGGTGTCCTTTTAATCCTCCCAACAAGATGGATGTTATTATCCCATTTCCCAGACTGGGAACAAGAGGTTGAGAGACAGGGAAGTGTATGAGTTTCCTGGGCTGCCATCACAAATTATGACAAACTGGGTGGAAATTTATTCTCTCACAGTTCTGGAAGCCAGAGGCCGAGAAAGTCAAGGTGTTGGCAAGGTCGTGCTCTTTCAAAGGCTCTTTGGGAGAATCTGTTCCATGCCTTTCTCTTATTTCCCGTGTCGCCGGCAACCCTCGGCTTGCAGCTACTCCAGTGTCTGCCTCCGTTGTCACGTGGCCTTCTCCCTGTGTGTCTCTTCCCTTTTGTAAGGACATAGTGGATTAAGGGCCCACCCTACTCCAGTATGACCTTCACTTAGCCTATTACGTCTGCAACAACTCTATTTCCAAATAACATCATATTCTGTGGTACTGGAGGCTAGGACATCAACACATCTTTTGGGGGACACAATCCAGCTCGCAACAGGAAAGTGCCTCATCCAAAGTCACTCAGAGGTACAGTCAGAACCACAGGCCTGAGACCTGAATCATGGCCGGAGCGGCCTGTCATCCCAAGGAGAGCCCGACTTCAACCTCTCCTCACATTCCAATGAGTCAGAAGCCAGCCCGTGGCCGCTTCTGTTGCCTAGCCGGCCACTTTTGGCCAGCAGAGGTGGCAGGCATAGCTGCGGATCCCACTATCATGTCCTGGGACACTGCTCTCAAAGGTGGCCTGATCAGCTCTTGGGTTAGTCCCCCTCCGGCTGCCCCTTTGTCCACTCCCCTGGTCCAGGCATGGTCTAGGAGGTCAGGGTGGTTAGGGTGGGGGAGGGGCGAGCACATCCATGGCACGGAGGACCCTGATGGGGGAGGTAGCAGAAGGTCCTCCCCCAGAGGATAAGTGTAGAGACCTGAAGAGGCAGCTTCTGCCCCAGGGTGGCAAGTGCCCGGGTCTCTCCTCACCATTTCCAGAGGTCCAGGGCCCCCGTACATCTTCCTCTGAATACAAGAGAGGGCTCCGTGCCAGCAGGGAGACTGCAGGGTTGGCCCACATCAAGAGCCTGCTGGGGGTTTCCAGAGATATCGACAAAAAGGTCCAAGGTTCTCTTCCTCCCTCATCTTGAAGTGGGAGGTTGGGGCTGAGACTTTGTCCCTACCTGCGGGAGGGGTGACGTGGAGCAGCTGTGGCCTCAGAGGGCACTCAGGGCAGAAGGGTCAGCAGACAAGGCCGGCTCCCCTCCCAGGCTGGAGACTGGGGCCTGCAGGGGAGGCTGAGAAAGCAGGAGCTGCAGATGTCACCAACAGAGCCTTGAATCCCTTCTGCATCCCTCCCACAGCCTGGACTGTTATCCTGCCCCCAGTCCCAGAAGAAACAAGGAGGCAAAGAGGAAAGAACAGAACAGCAGCAGGAGAGGGGGAGAACCCAGCTCTGCCGCCTGCTGGCCGGGTGCCCCCCCCTCCCCCAGCCGCTTCTGTCTGAGTTCAGAGATAACTGATAACCGTGTGAGGGAGCAGCTGGCTCCTACCGGCTCCCGACCGCGCCTTGCTGCCCCTGACCCACACTCCACGGGAGAGGGGTGGGACTGGGCAGAGTGAATGTGGGCCTGATGGAGAATGGGCCACAGTCCAGGCCCCACGCCTTACGTGGAAAGGGGGCTGATGACAGGGGAGGAGGGGTACCCAGGGCCCCAGGACTGCTTTGGACAGATGTTAGTTGAATGTGCCAGTCCCTGGACCAAGGACAGGGGCCAGTAATCATTTCTTCATTTGTTCGGCAAATCCAGTGTGTCAGGCTCTGTGCTAGGCGCTGGGGAGACCACCGGGATGAGATGGAAAGCCCTACTTCCCTGCAGCAGACAGACAGCAAAGGACCAAGCTCACAACTGCAGATGGCTCTCACCAGCTTATTGGGGAATCTCGACACAGCAGGACGCAGATTTGAAACAAGTTAAGTTTTCCAGGCACTGCCCTCGACTGTGCCAGGCAGAGGCCACTTTCTCACTGCAAGGGGCAGCTCTCTTCCCAACATGGGGCCAGATTCTGAGCATTCTCCACCCTCCAGATTTGAGCCTTCTCCTGGGCATTGTCCGTTGAAACTCCAGGCTCTGGCTTGATAAAATCACGTCTCCCCTCCCCGAGCCTGGGAGGAGCTTCAGGGGCTCTAGTGGGGGTGGGAGGGTGACGAGGGGTCTCCCCTCACCTTCCGTTCCTCAGTGTTGGGATAGGGAGAAAGAAACGGGCATCTGCTCCTGATTCGCCTGGGCCAGGGAGAACCAGAGTCGAGACCCCAAGGCTTCCGTAGCTCCTTTTCACTGAGAACGAGCAGTGCCAGGGGTCCAACCTGCCAGCTGACGGCAGGGTCCCTGGGTACAGGGCCCCGAGCTCAGCAAGGCCTCACACTTGGTTTAATGTTCCACATACCAACATCTTGAAATTCTTAACAATTGCTGAACAAGGGGCCCTACGTTCTCATCTTGCACTGGGACCCCAGCAAACTGTGTAGCTGGTCCTGCCTGCCGGACACGGGTGATAGCAACGTACAGCTGGCAGCATCGTACGCATCACACCCTTCATACCCTTCCAAAGCCTGAAGCCACCAGTCTCATTCACACTTGGGACCAACTCTCAGGCCTGTGGGCACAAGTGGAAGGCCCTCTGTAAATGCTTAGGGACCAGGAACCTCAGAGGTGGTGGGGGGTATGGGCCCCTCCCCACTCGGCACTTCTGGAGGTCCCGGCTGGTCAGCGAGTCCTCTGGCTGAATTGACCTCCACTGGGCACTGAAATGCCAATCTCTCCCTCTCCCGGCTCCCTGATTCCTAAGCAAGGCTTTCCTTGATTCCTCCGGGGATTCCAGCCCTCCTTCCCGCTTGGCTGGAGCTGTGAGGGAAACACTCTCTCCACCAACACTGTGTCACCCCAAAGGTCCACCTCCCCTGTCCTTTTGTCTGATCCACTTGGAGGAGGGGCCCTGGGGGAGCAGGGATTTGGACAGGGGTCCGGCAGTGAGCCCTGCAGTGGGGCAGGGAGAGGGGGGAGCTGCCCACTCAGCTAGACTGTGGAGACCGAGCCTCATAAACAGGCAAGAGTCCCACTGGACAGCTTGCAACAGAGAAGCGACTGCTCTAAAGAAGATACAGAGGGTGATGTGACAGAGATGAGAGGAACCGCTCGGACAGTGGCCGGAAGGCCTCTCCGTCACACTCCAACGAGAGATGTAGGTAAGGAAAAAGTGCACCCGTCACCAATAATAAACACAATCATTTCATGAAATGTGGATTTAGACGTGGTTCTCAAGAGGTGGCCTGTGGAAGTGGATGAAGTTGACCTGGACTTGGGGCGGGGTCTAGACAGAGGAGAGGGGTGGGCTCGTGACCCAGTCATGGGAACAGGAGTGGCAGAGGAGCTTGAGGCAGAGCTCAAGCTCTGGGGCTTGAGCGGAATTGCAGTCTGTGCTGTGAGGTCCCTCACTGCTCTTTGGCTGTGGTGGGGCTTTTACCCTGAGGGGAGCTGGGGGTGGAAGAAGCAGTAGGTAGACCCGAAGCTCCAGGTTTCCTTGCTCCTCCCCCTCCTTGCAGACCAGTGGAGGCAGAAGGGAGGCCAGGAGGCAGGGCAGGAAGGCTCTGTCTTGGTGCCCTGGCCTGGTTCACTTGGCTTTGGCAGAATCCAAGCAGCTGAGGGACTTAGGTGCCGAATGGGCAGAAGTGTACTCCCGGAGGAATTCCGCAGGGGAAGTGTCCTCCGTCATGAGGGGCTTGCTTTAGGCCTTAATCTCTCTATCTTGAATGCAAAAACCTATGGGCAGAGCTTGGAGGGTGCTTCTGAGCTGTTGGCCTCCATCAAGGCCTGCTAGGCTTTCCCACCCACCTCTCTGCTTTCTGGGTCTCTTACCTTGATGGCTCTCTCTTGGAACCACAGACGACTTCTTTTAAAAAAAAAAAAAAATTATATATTTATTTGGCTGCCCTGGGTCTTAGTTGCAGCGTGAGGGATCTTTGTTGCCACGTGCGGGATCTTTGTTGACACATGCGGGATCTTTAGTTGCGGCATGCGAAGTTGTGGCGTGTGGGATCCAGTTCCCTGACCAGGGATTGAACCCGGGCTCCCTGCATTGGGAGCATGGAGTCTTAGCCACTGGACCACCAGGGAAGTCCCACAGATAATTTTCCTTTGGACACTTTCTAAAACTTTTGTTTATGCTTCAAATACAGGCTCTGTTGAACTAACACCCTCTTGCCAAGAATTTGGAGATTACAGATAAAAAGCTCCAAACCCCATTCCCCTATGGGTTCCCCATCTAGATATACATCCTATCTATACATCCTATCTATGCCTAGAGGTATAGATATTCTGATGAATACAGTTTCCAATTTCACAATATTCACTCACAGTAATCCACACTCAGACAGTATTTTCATGGCATTCCT